TTTGGAATACCTTGCCGAGCTTATCTTGCTCGCCAAGAAGGAAGTCGCCGAGCGGACCTTGCTCGCCGACCTTGGAGTTCCTTGCCTAGCTGATGTTACACGCCAAGAAGGAAGTCGCGGAGCGGACCTTGCTCGCCTTCTTTGGAGTTCCTTGCCGAGCTGATGTTGCTCGGCAAGAAGGAAGTCGCAGAGCGGACCTTCCTCGCCTTCTTTGGAGTTCCTTGCCGAGCTAATCTTGCTCGCCAAGAAGGAAGTCGCGAGGCGAACCTTGCTCACCTTCTTTGGAGTTCCTTGCCGAGCTGATGTTGCTCACCAAGAAGGAAGTCACGAGGCGGACCTTGCTCGCCAAGAAGGAAGTCGCAGAGCGGACGTTGCTCACCGACCTTGGAGTTCCTTGCCGAGCTGATGTTGCTCGCCAAGAAGGAAGTCGCGGAGCGGACCTTGCTCGCCTTCTTTGGAGTTCCTTGCCGAGCTGATGTTGCTCGCCAAGAAGGAAGTCGCGGAACGGACCTTGCTCGCTTTCTTTGGAATACCTTGCCGAGCTCATTTTGCTTGCCAAGAAGGAAGTCGCCGAGCGGACCTTGCTCGCCGACCTTGGAGTTCCTTGCCGAGCTGATGTTGCACGCCAAGAAGGAAGTCGCGGAGCGGACCTTGCTCGCCTTTTTTGGAGTTCCTTGCCGAGCTGATGTTGCTCGCCAAGAAGGAAGTCGCGGAGCGGTCCTTGCTCGCCTTCTTTGGAGTTCCTTGCCGAGCTGATGTTGCTTGCCAAGAAGGAAGTCGCGGAGCGGACCTTGCTCTCCTTCTTTGGAGTTCCTTGCCGAGCTGATGTTGCTCGCCAAGAAGGAAGTCGCGAGGCGGACCTTGCTCGCCATCTTTGTAGTTCCTTGCCGAGCTGATGTTGCTCGCCAAGAAGGAAGTCGCGGAGCAGACCTTGCTCGCCTTCTTTGGAGTTCCTTGCCGTGCTGATGTTGCTCGCCAAGAAGGAAGTCGCGAGGCAGACCTTGCTCGTCTTTTTTGGAGTTCTTTGCCGAGCTGATGTTGCTCGCCAAGAAGGAAGTCGCGGGGCGAACTTTACTCGCATTCTTTGGAGTTCCTTGCCGAGCTAATCTTGCCCGCCAAGAAGGAAGTCACCGAGCGGACCTTGCTCGCCGACCTTGGAGTTCCTTGCCGAGCTAATGTTGCTCGCCAAGAAGGAAGTCGCGGAGCGGACCTTGCTCGCCTTCTTTGGAGTTCCTTACCGAGCTGATGTTGCTCGCCAAGAAGGAAGTCGCGGAGCGGACCTTGCTCGCCTTTTTTGTAGTTCCTTGCCGAGCTGACCTTGCTCGGCAAGAAGGAAGTCGCGGAGTGGTCCTTGCTCGCCTTCTTTGGAGTTCCTCGCTGAGCTGATTTTGCCCGCCAGGAAGGCAAGTTGAGGCTTCAGCCAAGCAAGCCAAGAAACCGAGCAAGAGGAATAGCGCGGTTGATGTCTTGCAAACTAAGGACCGAGGAAGAGTCTACCTTGGTCAGATCATGTAATCCCAGTCACGCTTGCGCGGACGGAATTAAGGGGCAATTGAGAGGGAGATTTATGAGCTGAATTGGGCCGTGGCAATGGCCGGGAAAATTGTGGGCCGTGGTGATGGGCGGGCAAATTGTGGGCCGTGGTAATGGTCGGGCATATTGTGGGCCGAACACAATTGGGCCGTGGTAGCTTGGGCCTATCCGCAAGGGTTTTGCTTGGTTAAGGCACAGGACATGTGGGACTGAGCTACTTGGCTTGTTGGTGCGGAAGCCGGTCTACTGGGAGTTCGGCCGAGATGTCTGCCTATCTCCATGGGTTCCACGGTTCATGCGTTAGCTCGGCAGGAAGACCGACGGCTAACCGGTTCGACCTACCTCGAGCTCGGCTTGCTGGAATGCAGCCGAGTTCGATTGTACAGGAGCTCGGCGAATGGTTCATTAAGGTATGCCGCGCAGCGCGGTTAGGAGAAACCAAGGAGGTTCCGCCGGTCTGCCGAGCTTCGCCGAGGTATCCTAACAGTTTGGTTAGGTGGTGATTGATGGATTTGTGCTGACAGATGAGATAGCAGCACCACGTGTCGAGAGACTAATGAGAGTAGATTTGGGGCGCAGAAGGTATATAAGCGAGTCTGCGCCCCCCATGCCTGGGACAGATGAACATTTGGTGAGATTTACACTAAACACAACTCAGTCATCTCTTTCTCTCTCTATCCCTGTGTGTGTGTCTAACTTGATCGTCGGAGGGGTTTTCCGGCCACACACCGCCGGGTAGCTCACCGCTGTTGTGCTCGCAGGTCGATCAGACAGACTGGAGCTTGGAAGAAAGGAGTGCGGGCTTGCCTGAATATTTGCTCCCCGCACATGTACCTTATGTGTAAAATTTTATCATAGATGTTAAGGGAATGAAAAAATATCTTGAGATTTATAATTATTTATTTGTAGCTCCGTAGCAGAAGCTTGGCATGTATTATTGTTGTCATTGTAATATTTATGGAGAGAAAGAACATGTATCATTGTGTTTCTATCACCCAAAGGTAATAGACTTTAAAAAAAAAAAAATAGACCTAATTTAAAGGCTTTGATAATATTTCAGAGTAATTGAAAAATAAGGCGTAACAGTTCATATATTCATTGTTATTCAATGAAATTGATTTTCAATATAGATAATTTTCATTGTGAGATTTAAATGATTGTTGTGGGTCATAATAGGATTCACAAAATCAAGTGTTATAGAGAGGACAATTGCCCCTGCAACCAAAATTAAAAGAACAAAATTTACTAAATTTGTAGGACAACGATTAACAGGTCCAACATTCTCATTGTTTCTACATGAATGAACTTCTAAGATTTTGTTTGGGATGATTTAAATAAATGTATTTTTTATCTTTTTATGAAAAGATATGTAAAAAAATAAAGAAGTGATATAATGAAAAAAAGATAAAAAGATAAATTATATAAGAGATGCCAAACCAACCCTAAACAAGTATGTTTATTCTAATGATTGCTCTCTTATGTGTTATCAAAAAAATGCTAATTGTTTTGCGATTTATGATTTGGAAGCACATTTCTTGTCATCGTGGAGGACGGAAACATGACCAATAGAAAATTTGTTTAAACTTGAAAGCTTATTTTATTTGGTTTAATTTTTAAATTTTTTATTTTCATGATTTTTTTATCATAATTTAGCTTTTCTTTAAAAAAAGATCACACAATCTACATACACCTAAAAAGTAAAAAATTTGTGAAGAAATTTAAAAAAGTTACATTAGAGATAAAAAAAAACACAAAAATGTGAATTTTTTTTTTTGGGTGTGTGTTTTAATGAATTTTTTTATCAGATTTGTTCACAATTTTTTTTACATTTTAAGTACATCTAAATTAGATACATCTAAAAATTATATATATATATATATATAAACCTGAAAAATAGTATTTGAGTTTGAAAATTAAACCAAAAACAAGAAAAAGTGTTTCAAAATATATTTAAACTTAATTTATTATTACTTTCCAACATGATCTAAAATAAATTTTAATTTCGTCAAGCTCGAAAATTTAGGAAAATTTACCCAAAACTCCTCATTGAACCCTTATTTAGTGAAAATAACAACTCAATTTATTTTATTTCATAAATCTCTTAAGGAGAAGGCGCATAATTGAATAAAGATTGAGTAGAATTTTTTTTTTGGGTAATATTGCCCATGCATATATATATATATATATATATCATAAAACTCTTTTGATGATAAATTCTTTTATTTTGTTTTATACAAGTTTTAAAATATTATGTACGTGCATTTTTGGTTGGTTTATCTAGTATGTATTATGTTTTTTTTTTTGGTAATAGTAAAATGTTATCGTGAACTAGAGTAACATATCAACATGTTACCATTTATGTCAATTTTGACGATATTTTTTATTTTACCATTTATGTCAATTTTGACGATATTTTTTATTTTTTTTAAGAATTTCATAGTCAACATGGATTTTATTTTATAGATCTTGATGAGAAGATTCTAAAAATACTAATTTTATTAAAAAAATTGACATCTAGATTAAACATTAAATTATTCTAAAATTTAAAATATTGAATTACTTATTAAGTATATTTTGGTATTATGTTGAACTTTTTAAGAATTTTTTTTTTTTTGTATTTATCTTTAATATATTAAAATTTTATTATTTGAGATTTTAAATGAATCCCTCAAAAATTTATAAGTTTAAAATGTATTCAAGTTCGACTTAACAAACTAATATCAAACAAGCCAAAGCTCAAAATCGATTTGTGTTGGAGGTGTAAAATGTTATTTTACGAAATACAGGATAGCCAAGTTAAGGTTTGCAACTAAGAGCGTTTCTAACGCTTTATTTTTTATTTTATCAAATTTAAATTTAATAAAAAAAATATAAAATTAATGGTTCAACGGTAATATCAAATCAATATTAAATTGAGAATCTTTTAAATTTTTCATTAAACTGAGAATGTTAAAATCTTTCACTAAATTACTATAGATAGTCGTTAACTTTACATGTGAGTGCTGGACAATATGTAATCACTGGATGACTGGTTGGATGTCTTGTCAGTTGTCCCTCAATCAACCACTTTTTTACAAAATTTGTTTTAAGATTTTGAAAAATTTACACCGGATAGACATTTCTCGGTCAGTCAATGATTTAATAAATTCTTAGTTTATTTTGTTGGAATGTGAAATTTAATGAAAAAAAGAAAATAAACGTTGATACTCTAAAAAAGGATAGTCAAGTATAAGTTTTGTTTGGCAAGTTGTTTTTCTTTTATTAAAATAGTCAATAAAGATAAAATAAGCCAAAATAATTAATAAATTAAAATATTACATTTAATTTATAATTATTTTATTTTTTTATTTACAACCATTAAATCAATTAAAAAAATCAATTATCTCCTCAATTACAATCATTTTAACTAAATTAAAATAATTAAAAAAATCATGTAACTGACTAAAATAACCACTTGCAGGGTCATAATTTTACGCTGTCAAGGGTTAAAACCTCTTAAACCCTAAAAAGCATGAGACGCCATAGCCATGGCGGAGAGAGGGCTCGATCTCAGTTTCCCTCCATGTCTCCACCTTTTCTCGGCCTTTCTCGCCATGGAACCAACCCACATCTTGATCTCCTTAGCCCGGTATTCTCGCAAAGCCTCTTCTGGTTTAATCGAATTAACAATGAGTTTGATTGTGTTTGTATGTGAAACCCTAGGGATTGTGGTGGAGGTTCGGTCACAGAGAGAGTACAGAGCTTCATCTGGAACCACTGCATAAGCAATCCTGTGAGTCGCTTCAACAGTTCCCAGTTGTTTGTTTTGCAGAATAAACATATATTTGAAGCTTATCCTTTGTTTGTTATCCGAGAAAGTGGAGTAATAGTTAGAAAATAGCTTCTTGAATCTTAGGGTATCTCTAAGCATGGATTCAAGCCTATGTGAAATTTAAATTTGAGTAAAAATCACTCAAAAACCCTCTACTCTGACCCAAACTTTATAGTAAATGGAAGTTTACTCAAATTTTTAGCCAAATTAAGGGAGATTCAAATGTTTACTCAAAAATTTCAAGGCATTTTTATGACTCAATGTTACCACTTAGCCATTAGTGAAGAAGAAATAGAGCGAATGAGGTTTCTCGTCATTTGTTTGATGATTAATGAGGTGAGTAATGGTGAGAAAGGAAGAGAAACGGTGAGAAAGACGAATCTCACCAAACTTAAGTTTTGTTTCTCACCAAAAGTGGTGAGATTTGGTGAGAAACCAAAATTATTCTTTATAAAAAGTTTATAATACCTAAACTACTCTAAATACAAAACAAGTAAAATAAAAAGACACATGTATCATCTTTTAGTCATTGTCCATCCAAATTGTAGATGAGAAACCACAATCGTTTCTTTTCTTTGCTCACCTAGGTGAGAGAAACTCCAATCATTTCATTTCTTTTCTCATCTCACAATCCAAATGGAGTGTAAATTTGAGTGAGTGGTTCATATCAAGCAAAGATTTTACTCAAATTTGAGGCTGTTCCTATTCCTGCATTTTCGTAGCTGCCCAGTGAGTCCTTGGCGTTTCTCTGCTTAGTCAAGACACATAAAGGAACAAGCAAGATTTTAAAGTTTAGAACCTTTTTTTTTAAATGCCTTTTTATTTTGGTGACCATGAATTCAGAACTGTACTTGATTTTTTGTCACAGAACTGCATTAGGCAGCAGAAGTAATTACAAATTTTTTTGGTCCCTGGGTGTCTAAGGGTTGTAACAGTCAGAATTTCAATGCAGTTTATTTTCTTGTATTTTTCCAGAAAAGAAACCTATTGAGCTTGGTTTGGTTTTTGTTACCAATGCAGGATGGAAAATCCCGAATGCCATACTTGAAAAGTTTTCTGAAGAAGCTTATTGTTGAAGTTGAATCCCAAGGTCTTGAAGTCTTGGATGAATTGTATGAACGGTTTGCCTTTTACATGACTTCATTGAAGGTAATGTTTCTGGATGGACTCTTCACACCGTGACAATTGATTCTTTATTTGATGGTTGATTAGTCGTGCGAATATAATTCTGGTGTGTTAGGATGATTATTCTGCAAAAGCAAACACAAGGATCGTGAAATGCATTTCGTTTCTCTTTCCTGACGGTAGGAATGTTTATCTCATGGGATGCCTGCATTTGGTATTTATTACTTTTTATTTGGCCTGATTCATGCTTATTAATTCTTTTCTTGATTCTTTAGGTTGTTCTGATCTCCCAAGTTGCCCAAAAACAAGGAAACTGGTGGTTCCACTGCAATGTTCACTCAACATGCTTGAAGGTGATACTGGGTATGAATTATTGCTGCTGGGTTTAATTTGCATGCTATGTCTACACCATCCTATTGCTAACTACTACTCCATTGCTTTCTTCAGCTGAAATGTTAAAATTGAATAATTTATCATATTACATGTTTTGTCAACACTATTGGATTTGCACCATGTTATGCTGTTCTTTGAATTTTCCTTCGTTTAGTTTTTGATTTATTAATTTTAATGACGAGAGAACGCAATCAATAACAACTTATAAATAATGAATAGAGCCCAAGAAATACCTATTGACAACAAACTTAGCATTTATATGCTTTCTTTTCCACATTGGTTATTGTGAATTTTTACCCATAATAAACAAGTTTCTTGTGTGAAGTCACCTAAGGGCTGGAATGTATGGGTTTTTTTTTGGGTTCCCATACAAGTATTGTCACACACACCCCAAGTCTGGGGGTGTGACCAGATGTGGACCGTTGGGCTAATGAAGTGACAAAATCATGTCAACAAGTCTGGTGGGTCACAAACATCCCACCCTCAAGATTAAAATATTCAAATTGTAGATAGTTGTTTCATTGATTTCCGTTCATCACTTAAATTAATTAAATTTAGTGTTTGCTGGTTTGGTGTGTATAGGTGTTCAATTTGGCCTTCAAGTCTTTTCTTGTCAGAGTTCATCCTTTCCCACCCGGAATTATTCTCTAATAAATCTTGTTTTGAGGTGAGCAATATTTTTAGCGTAGGTTCCTTCTTTGCAGGAGTGCAAATGCTGGTCTAACTTGAGATATTCATGACTTACCTAACAAGTGACTTTGTCTTGTTGGTTCCACCATATCACTAGTGCTCTAAGACTCAGTATGTGTTGATCAAATAAACATCTTTTGTTCAAAAACAGTAAATATATCAAATATATTTTGTTGCAACTGTTCTATCATTATTATTATGTGTTTGATCTCTTGTTTTATGTTAGTAATTTTCTATTAATCTATTGATTCTTGCGATTGCAAATATTGTTACTAGCTTCTGTCCTATGTTAATCCCAAGTTTTGATGTGTTAACTACATTCTCTCTCTCTCTCTCTCTCTCTATATATATATATATATATTAAAAATAAATAAAAAACAGGTTGGTTCAGGTGTTGGTTTGGTTGGCATTTGTCTTGCCCACATAAAAGCATCCAAGGTAACTCTCTCTCTCTCTCTCTCTCTCTCTTTCTCATTGTGGTTTCTTGGAAAACTATTATAAATGTACGATTTGGTTCAGGTGATGCTAAGTGATGGTGACCTGTCAAGTTTGGCAAATATGAAGCTTAATTTGGAGTTAAACCATCTGAGCGTTAGAACAGATTTGTCAGAAAGAACCATTGAAGATCCAGATTTGGTGTGTTCTTTATTTGTTTATTTATTTTGCTACTAGTGTTTAGATTGGTGAATGTATCAGCGTGTCTGCAAGTGTTGAGGGTGTGTGTTTAGTAAGAAATTTGGAGAAAGTTCTGCATTCCAACCATTAAAATTGTTTGTGAGTAACCTCGAGGGGTTGGCCTGGTGGTCAAGGCTTGGGGCGTGGGAGTGTGCTTCCCCTCAAGGTCTCAGGTTCAAAACCTCATAAGTGCAAACAATTTCTTGGGGCCAATCCATATAGGGTTTTGTCTTGGCTTTAATTGGCACCCCCGCAAATGGACAGTGAGATTGGTCTCCCGGATTAGTCGGTCCAATGGGCCGGATACCAAGTTATCAAAAAGATAAATAATTTAGTCTGTGAGTAAGAACCCAAAATTACTTCTTATGATATACTCTAAAATGTGGTATGATGGTGTTCGACTTGTCTAGATTAAACTATTAGAATTTAAGGAACTCATTGAGCAATTTTCTTTTGCCAATTAGATATCTAATAAAATGTAGTTTATTTTTCTCAAATTAATCATATAAAAACACATTTCTATGAGCATTATGACCAAATTTTTATGTTTTGTTATGCCAAAACTCTACTCTTCTTAGATTTTAGTTCATTATATTTGATTTTCTTTCCTCTTAAGGAAATATATTACAAAACAATTGGGATTGCTAAATTCACCATTTTGGAATAAAAATGTACCATGTTTAAGACCTTGTGTACCGAAATGTAAACCTCTAGGATATCAGTGTTTCCCAGTAACACTGGTCCACTATATTCCCGTAACATGCATTAACGATGTTGCTTTATAAGTTAGAAAAAGAGTGTGTATGCGTGTGTGCTTGTGCCTTTAGAAAACTCTTAAACGAATTTGTTGACATGGTCTAAAGAGTCTAGTTTTCTAGTAATCTCAGTGAACCCAAGTCCATAATTTCCCATATAAGGTATTTGAAACTTTGAACTATTCTAATATAGGCATATAAAGAAGTTTACTTTCCATGACTTTGAACACCACAGAATATGAGTTTTTGTAAAGCCGAAGATTTTTTTGACTTGATTGCTTACTATATCTTGATGCTTCACTGATGTACATGCAAATCATACAAAACAGTTAGGAAGATCTTGTCATAGAGAAATTGGCCAAATGCTTTTGGCCCTATGAATCTACGTTAAGAGGGATTAGTTTGTCCCTGTTTGAACCCGAGCCCTAAAATATAGGTTTTGTAAGGGTCTAAACTTTTGAGGAAACTTTGAGTTACTTTAAATGTGGAACTGTTTCATGGAACTTTTACAGTAGTTTAAAAAAGTATAAAACCTTGTAATTGAAGTAGGAAGAATTCACAGTCAAAGCTGACTATTTTTTTTTTTTATTTCAGGTGAAATGCATTCATCTGCCGTGGGAGTCTGCTGTGGGAAGCGAGCTTCGCGACTTCTTGCCTGACATAATGTAAGTATTTTTCATGTATTTTGTTAGTGAAGATGGCAATTAATTTCATGATTATGTTCACATTGGTTTTTTACTTTGTGTGCCGACAATCTAAATGGATATTGGTGTCAAAATGTGGGGATTGCCAGCATTCATGGTAATGGGGATACAACCTGTTGGAAATTCTGTAGTTGCAAGTATTGGAAACAAATTAGCGATTTGCATACTTTTTATAACTTGTGCTATTTTCCTTGTAACAGATTGGGTGCAGATGTAATGTATGATCCCTTGTGCCTTCCACATCTTGTTCGAGTTCTTGCCAGTCTTTTGGACTCTGAAAATTCAGACACTCATCTCTGCAGTGAACACTGCAATGGCATTCAACCAGGTAGTAAAGCTCGCAATGCTGATTATAGCCGTGGCTCTGATACATGTCAAGGCGAGGCAGTGCCTGATGATGGTCCAAACACTGAATATGCGTGTTGTGCATCAAAGGAAGGTCCCAAGGCATTTATTGCTTCTGTCATACGGAATATTGATACATTTAACCGTTTTCTTGAGTTAGCAGATGAGGCAAACCTCAGTGTTGAGGACGTAACTGAGAAATTTATGCTGTTTGATTTGCTTCCCTACATGCAATCTTACAATCGATTGAGTATACGACTGTTTACTCTTACCCATTTATGAAAGTGACTTTTGACATGTTTCTCGAAACCCTAATCTATAGCTATAAGCTCTCAAATGTGCTGCAATTCTGAAGCAGTTTCTTTACAATGCCGACCCCTGCAAGGATGCCGTGGTCTGGCTTTGTTGCATTGCATTGAGGAAGAAACTATGCCCAATCTTTGTTTACTTGCATTCAACAGAGTTCACAGTTGTGTTCAAATTCTGTTTTTTATCTTTTATTTTTAGAAAAACTAAAACTAGTTTGGTGAATAAAATTTAAAACAAGCTTGTTTGGTTCTAATTTTCATAAAACAGTTTTTAGAAAATTTTGTTTTTTTATTTTCCGTATTTTAATGTTTTCAATGAATTTTTTTAATTTTTAGAAACACATAATATAAATACATTTAAAAGTATTATATTTTTGGAAAAAAATTTAAAAAATACATTAAATATAAAAAAATACAAAAAAAATTTATGAAAATTTAATACATTTTTCGTATTTTTGTATATTTATTAATTTTTTAAAATATTTTTTTATAAATATTTTATTATTTAGATACATCTAAGTAAGATGCATTTAAAAAAATATACAAAATTACTTAAAATTTAAAAAATATTCATTTAAAATAAAAAAGTACAAAAAATAATAAACTCAGTTTTAAGAAAATTAAAATCAAATATACTGGGTAATTTTTATATATTTTTTTTAAATGAAAGTACATTTTAAAAAATTTAAAAATATAGGCTCACTTTTGTTGAGTTTTCAAAACTTGTTTAAAGTTTTTTGACCCAAAAAAAAAAAAAAATTAATTTTTTTAAATATATGTCTTGAAAAAAGTCAAATGAAAATAATGAGTTTTTCATTACTTGTCAAACTAATTTTATTTTTTAAAAATTTTGATACTGATGGGCACTCAAGGGGCCAAGCCCACGGGTCAAGGCCCAGCTCACGGCCTAGGTATTAAAGCGCAGTAACTTTGAGAAGATAATGCTGGGACAAGACCAATAGTATCAAAACACTTGTCATGCAAGGAATTAGTCATGTAAGTAGACAAAAATCTTGCAAAGTTATTGCACTCACACATTAATCATTTAATGAGGCCACTATAGTATTAAATGCAATAAGACCCCTCATGCCAGAGCATGCAGAATCACCATGAACGATGTTAACTAGGCCATAGACTTTTGGCCAACAAGACAGCTTGGAATGGACAAGGAAATAATGAACAAATGATATAAGGAAGCTTTCGAGAGACGTTAAAGGTTAAGTCTTTCATTACCTGCTCAATCTAACTTGATCGTTGGAGTATCCGTCGGGGAACTACCTCCCCCTTTGGACCTTTTTGCAAGCACGCATCGAGGATTCAATAACCAGCAGACCCATAGAAGACGCAGACCGGCCCGACCCATCATCAGTTGGTGCTGTCTGTGGGAATTCATCTTTGGTCGACAGTTGTGTTTGTTACCACCGGGGAGAACTCCGCTATCATCTATCTCCTATATCAAGGTGGATGATCACGACCAGGTCCATGGCTTCACAACACAATGTTGATAACCCTGAAGCCGAGTCCTCCAACCCAAATAACCCACTTCCATATTTTGCAGAACTCACCAATAGCATTAACCGTCTGACCGAACAAAACCAAGCCTTGATCAACACTTTGCTCCAGCGCGACTTACCTATCCCTCCTCCATCACCACAAATGGTCCCCTCTAACCCGGAATAAACCTACAATCATCACCAATTCCCACCACATGTATCCTAGGGAATATTTTCGCCCTTTGTCCCACAGCCTCAACCGTCGAACCTTGACGATCTGCACATCCCTCCTCCAGGCTCACAGCCTCGTCAGGAGAAACCATTGCTTTTCCATGACTACCTTCACTGCACCACGTAGCCGTCCATAAAGGTGAGGCTAGTAGTTTTCAACCCCCAGTTCATGCTTGTGGGGATAATGCCCTTGTCTGGGAAGAAGAGCTACGGGCCATGAAGCTTCAGCTATAAGGGGTTATGCAGAACATGCAGCATAAACCTTCTTCCACTGTCAACTCCCCTTTTACCGCTTCCATCAAAGATAAAGCTCTATCCCCTAAGTTCAAAATGCCATCGATTGACACCTTCGATGGTACCACCAATCCGGTCGACCACGTGGAAGCGTATCAAACACTTGTGATCCGCTACGCCTTTTCAGACGAAATTATGTATTGCGCTTTTCCCGTCACGTTGAAAGGGTCGGCACGACTCTGGTTCAGCCAGCTTCCCCCAGATTTTGTCACTTCCTTTCACTAGCTCAAGGAGTCTTTCCTGAGCCATTTCATCGGCGCGCAGCGGCAACGACACCCTGGCGACTTAATTATTAAATATTTAGCAGATCGAGGGGGAATTGCTGCGCAGCTTTGTCACCCGCTTTAATACAGAGGCCTTATAAGTGGAGGAAAACGATGACAAGGTCATTCTCACAGCCTTCATGGCCTGTTTATGCCCGAAAAACCCTTTGACTGTAATGGCCACCTTTCTTGCCAAAGCCCAGAAATACATGAATGCTAAAGACTCCTTAGTGGCTCGCTAAGATTCCACATCCAAGGCTTCGCAGCCCAGGGAAAAGAGAAAAGAACCTAAACCCAGGCACTCACAATACACCTATCGACCTCCACAGTATACAGACCAGCTTCTAGGCTCAAACCGACCAGCTCCTAACCGACTACCTGGTCGGTTCAAACGATACACTCTTCTCAACTCGCCTATAGAACAGGTCCTATACCAAATCCAGTATGACTATGACCTCAAGTGGCCCCAACCATCAAAATCTTCTTCCACCCGTCGGGACAAATCCAAGTATTGTCGTTTCCATCATGATCATGGCCATACCATTGAAGAATGTGTCAACCTTAAAGACCAGGTCGAGGATTTGATCCGTCGGGGACGCCTTAACCGGTTCACAACAACTCCTTATAAGTGGAGGAAAACGATGACAAGGTCATTCTCACAGCCTTCATGGCCTGTTTATGCCCGAAAAACCCTTTGACTGTAATGGCCACCTTTCTTGCCAAAGCCCAGAAATACATGAATGCTAAAGACTCCTTAGTGGCTCGCTAAGATTCCACATCCAAGGCTTCGCAGCCCAGGGAAAAGAGAAAAGAACCTAAACCCAGGCACTCACAATACACCTATCGACCTCCACAGTATACAGACTAGCCTCTAGGCTCAAACCGACCAGCTCCTAACCGACCACCTAGTCGGTTCAAACGATACACTCTTCTCAACTCGCCTACGGAACAGGTCCTATACCAAATCCAACATGACTATGACCTCAAGTGGCCCCAACCATCAAAATCTTCTTCCACCCGTTGGGACAAATCCAAGTATTGTCGTTTCCATCATGATCATGGCCATACCATTGAAGAATGTGCCAACCTTAAAGACCAGGTCGAGGATTTGATCCGCCGGGGACGCGTTAACCGGTTCACAACAACTCGCCCTCACCAAAGACCTAGAATGGACCATCCAAGGCGCAATGACCAACATACTCTTCCTAAACAGCCTAAGCCGCCTAGACAACGTGGTGACTGGGCTCTACCACAACTGCGAGCACAAAGTGGCCCTGCCCTCCTAGTAGGTGAGATCAGAGTTATCGTCCCGATGGACTGTCTCGATCAGCACAGTGAGCCGAGCTCAAAAAAATTAGACAAGGCTCCGATAAGGAAATGACGAAAGTGGACCGCCCCTACAAACAACCCAAATAATGGTTTGAACCGATCACCTTTACAAAGGCAGATTGCACAGGCATTCGCTACCCCCATGATGACCCCCTGGTCATTTCTACTCTCCTGTTGAACTACAAAGTCAGACGAGTACTTGTCGACAGTGGCAGCTCTTCAGACATCATCCTTCTTAACGCCTACCGACAACTCAAGGTCGGGAAAGAAAAGTTGCCGCCTCTACAAACCCCTCTGGTTGGCTTCACCAGCGATCGGGTGACATCTATAGGCTCCATTGACCTCCCAATTACCATCGACGAATATCCACGACAGTCCACAAAACTACTCACTTTCTTCGTCGTCGACTACCTTTCCTCCTACAACATCATAGTTGGATGCACAGATCTCAACGCCTTCCAAGCTGTAACCTCCACGTACCATTTGGCGATGAAATTTCTGACCGATTAGGGGGTTAGTACGGTGAAGGGCGAACAGACGGTGACCAGAGAATGTTATGTCGCCTCATTAAAAGAGGTTAAAATGAAGAAGGCCATGATCATAGAAGGCCTTGACATCAAAGATGAGGAAGAGCTAATCAGAGGAGAACTAGTGGAAGAACTAGTTGAAGTACCCATTGACCCCACTGACCCGACGAAAATGACCAAAATTAGCAGCCAACTGCCCCCTCAAGTCAAGGCCGACCTTATAGCCCTCTTCGCAGAGCATAATGATGTCTTTGCTTGGACCCAATTCGACATGCCAGGTATTGACCCTTCTTTTATTACTCATTGCCTCAGTATTGAACCCCAATTTCAGCCGTTCCACCAAAGGCAGTGCATTTTTCACCTAGAACACAACAATCTCATTGTCGTTAAGGTGGACAAGTTCTTGAAGGCCAGTTCATTAGAAATGTAGACTATCCCAAATGGCTATCCAATGTGGTCTTGGTTCGCAAAAATAATGGCAAATGGAGACTTTGCGTCGACTACTCTGACCTCAACCGAGCCTATCCTAAGGATAGCTACCTACCACCCAGGATAGATTTATTGGTTGACGTAACGGCAAGACACCAGATGCTCAGCTTCAAGGATGCTTTCTCAGGCTATAATCAGATCTTTATGCACATAGCTGACCAGGAGCACACTTCTCTCATTACTGACAGAGGAACTTATCATTATCGTGTGATGCCATTTGGTTTGAAGAATGCGGGGGCCACTTACCAACGCCTGGTCAATGCCATTTTCAAAAACCAGATAGGTTGGAATATGGAGGTCTATGTCGACGACATGCTCGTCAAAAGCAAACTCTCCCCTGATCACCTAGTAGACCTACGGGAGACATTCCAAGCC